TCACTCTAAATCTTCCACGATCCGTCTTGTTCCATTATTTCTCAATAATTTAGCAACCACTTTGTCCACATCCTGAAATCCGCTCGCTCGAATAGTGGGTGATCATATTCTCGCAGCTAATATTGACCCTATGACCTTTGAATACAGCTATAGACCAGCAGCATTCTAATGAATGGGAAAATTCGTAAGCACTGAAAAGCTGTAGAATATTGCTTTATTTCACTGTTTGTAATCAGTACATGTACAATACTTTGATCTGTCAAGACCGAATGTTCCTTCTAAAGGACATTTTATATCTCCATAAGAAGAAAAAAAATTGTTTTTTTACTATCGATTATTCTTATTGAGGTACTATATTTTTTATTTCTGCAAAAATTTTGTTCAATTTGCATCGATAAGGCCTTCCGGCTCTTAAGGGTTAACTTACCTTTGCTTCAATTGGTATGACTTGTTTTGAAAAAAGTAGCAAAATTTAAGCTCTACTTTATTTCTTTTTCTAGCGGCACAACTTTTCAGATGTGATTGATCACGTACAAACTAATCTAATATATTCCATACGACTATAACTTAATAAAGATTGAATTATCATTTCTATTTATATAACACAGTAACTCAAAATCAACAAATTTGATTTTCATCACATACAATAAGTACATATAGATGAAAATAAAAAGTTTAATTCTTTATCTTTATACTTGACAAAATTAATATAATTTTTATCATTTGTTTCAATTAATATTATTGTTCGATCACATAATGAACATGTTTGTGCATCTTCAAGAGATAATGGTAGAAGTGTTCGACAACAACGAGGCCAAATATGTTTATTTGAACATGTACAAGATAAAAGATCTTGATTTGTCATTGTTAATGATGTATTACACATTGGACACATAAGTAAAGTAGATGAAGTTAGTTGTTCATCTTTACAACAAACTGTATAAATTAATAATTCAATTGATGTAAGTTTATTAATCATTTTTGAAAAAAGTATATTGAAAATTTCTGATAAACGATGACGATAATTTTGTAATAACTGATTTTCAAATATTTGTAATTGTTTTGTATTATTTAATAAACTATGTAAACGACATAATCGTTGAAGATATAGAAAATTATCATTCGTATTTTTTTTAATTTGATAATGATAAGTTGTACCACGTGTTACTTCATTTAAAATAATAGCAAGTTCATCAGATGATTGCCATAATGGTATATGAGATCTGCCTAGAAAATCTTCAATTATTTTATCAAATGTTATTGAATTAGTAGATGACCATCGATGTAATGTACAAATTACGAACCCAAATTTAACATTAGGTGCAACAATTGGTGAATAAAAAATACGTGCAAGAAGTAATTCATTGGATGATAAATTAAAATGTCGAAGAAGTAATGGTTTACGAGAACAAGATTTTATATGACCATTGGCAGCTAATTTTATATCAATGATAGTTAAAGGTGATTGACGAGAAATTGTAAGTGAATGCATTGTACCATCTTCACAACCGATTATAATTGAAATAGGATCTGTTGATAATAAACATTGTTGTTGATGACAACCAATTATAGGTGAAGGTAGAACACGATAATCAATTTGATTACAATCATAAGTTGAAGACTATAATAAATAGATAATACAAATTAGCATATTATCAGTTAAATATTACATAGTACATTACAGAAATTTCTATATGAAGAGAAAGATGAGATAAACTTGAGTCTAACGAGAGAACTTCACCAACTGTTACACTCCGTTTGAGCTTATATTGGGCTCCTAAGCAGGTCTTAGTCAGATTAGAAACAGGTCTAATCATTTAATGAATATCCTGAAAATTTCATCTAAAAAACTGTTCCCTTGTTGAAATATTGAAGTTTTAAAAAATCATCGTTACCACAGACAAGGAGTGAAAAGCCAATTTACTTCAATATCCACTATCTCCAGGAAGGAACAGTTTTTCCAGGTGAAATTCTGAGGATATTCTACAAATGGTTAAACCTGTCTGTGGACAAAATGTTAGCTCAAAATTCCGTTATTTAGTCTTTTGCTCAATACCGAAAAAATGATCAAAAATTCAGTAAAAAGGCTATAACTCAGCTCCAAAGTCCTATGGAGAGAAACCCTTTTAGGTTTTTTCTAGTCACACTAAGACCTGCTTGGAAGCTCAAATAGAGTGTAACAGTTAGTGAGATTTCCTCGTAAGCCAAAATTACTTTTCATAACGCTTTGTGACACTGAAACTATCATGATGACTAATATATTTTAATAATGAACATCACTCACATGATTGAAAGTTTCATTCTTTCAAAAAGCTATTAACATATATTCATTTATGACTTCTAAACATTTGAAATGCATGAAAAGAGAAATAGTCCTTTCTCTATTCTCTCAGAATATTCTATTAAAATTTCAATGATGTTCATATTGAGATATTATCATTATAAACTATCAGAGGGGTGTAGGTGCGGATGTATAGGTATGGACTTCTCTTCTTCCACACCGACATCCCAATACTACACTGATTTAGTTATTTTTTCATATTTAATCTCTAGATGAAAATTTACCTCATTCATATTCATATCAATTGAATAAACTACACAATAATTCATTTTATTTTCTACTAATACTAAAGTCGTTTCATTCCATTTCATTAATACTGCATGTTCCGTATTCATATAATCATTCTCATTAATATTTATATGAAATAATATCATTTGATCCATTCGAATAAAAACACGTTGATTTTCTTTTCCTATAATTAATAATATCTGACATTCTTCATTCCATATCATTAATAATGGTTTAGAAATTTCTGTATCAATTATCGATAATATTTGTTTATTCAATTGATCAAATTTCCATATTATAATATGACCAGAATATTGCAATTGAAAAAATAATGTACCATTATTATTCCATAAAATATTTGATGTTAAATGAAAATAAAGTAAACGATAATTATTTTTTGAATCTGAATCATCATGTAAATATTTTTCTAATTGAATATTCTCAAATAAATATTTTGTTAAGTCAATTTTTAAATTTGATGATTGTGAAAGAAAAAAACGTTTTGATGATGATATTATTTCATAAATAAATACTTCATGTGCACATGTTATTGTTGCTAATATACTTTGTCCATGATTTAATGTTATATCAATTGGTGAAAATAAACAACGACGAAAACCTTTATATTGAATTATATCTGAACATAGTAAACGATCGAATGGTGATAGTGATGTTGGACGACGTTTATATGATTCATATAAACGTGGTAAATATTGATTTTTAATTTTTTCAAAAATTAAATATGATGAAGAATTTAATGAAATTGTACTTGTCTGATCACTAGATTGAAATGGATATGCTATTCGAGTAATAAGCATTGATGATAATGATGATGAAAGATTTTGTGAAGATGATGTTTCACGTTTATATGTTGAAGGTACACATATTATAATTCCTTCCGATGTACAATAAGCTATTTCACATATAGATGAAATACTTGAACAAAATTTATCATAAATATGTACTTGTTCATGAGAATATGAACTAAATAATTCTAAATCAGATGTTGGTAATATTGGTACAGTCGTAGTCGTTGGAATAGTTGACGATGAAATGGATGATATTGATTTATTTCTATTAGGTTTTTTCATTTTCTAAAAAAAATCATTCTGTAAAACTATTTATCAATGTTCTTTCTCTTAGAGAAGATTCTTGCAAACATAAATTGTCTGCTTGCTTGATTGTGTATCCGCACCTTAATGATTCATCGAAGAACTAAGCGAAGACGTCAAAGGAATTTTTTTTATAAGGGTTGACCGAGGAGTAATCCGGATAGAGGAACTGGAATCAGTGGTTTATCCAGCGGGGGGGGAGGCATGGGGCTTTTTGCCCTCTCAGAGGGTGCCCCTGCCCCTCCGGAATTCAGAAAAATTACGCTTTTTGAGTCTGAAACTCTACATTTGCCCCCCTCCCCCAGAAGAGAGATTTTTGCCCTCCCGGACGAAAAAAGCTAGATAAAATACTGACTCGAATCTACTGTTATTTTTCGAAATTGTTTGCATAAATAGTTTACTGATAGTTAAGATACATCGTTTCTACGAGAAAACGCTGAGCGAGTCTGTAGACGAGCGTTACTTGTCTAAGTAAAATCTATTTTTAGCTAAATAATAGAATTAAATGTCTCGTGTTTTACTACTCGATCAAGTAGACTATGTGAAAGCCCTCGAAGGTATTTTCTTTGAAAGAATGACTGAAAACTAAGAACGACAGATATTCATGTTGAGACAAAACCAGATTATTTTGGTTATTAATTCTAAACAAATGTTACGAAGATAACGTTTATTCTATTAATCATGCACAAAAATAAATGTCATTCAAAATCATCAAAAAGAACAAAAAGAGTTGAAAAGTTGTTTTTTTCTTCTTAAAAATGGATATATAGAGAAAATAATGTTGTCAAAGAATATAATTCATTCTATTGTGTGCTTTGCAAAAACTATAGTTAACAACATTGAACACCGGTATCGAAAATTTTATATGCGGAAAGTTTATATAGGAAATACTGTTTGGTAATTGAAAATAAATAAGCAATTGAATAAATATATCACTAAGTTTCTTTTTTAATATAACCAAAATTTTTTTTAAGTTGCTCGAGAAAGATAAACATTAAAATTGTATGTGGACCTAAAACAATATCAATCAATTAATTAAGAAAAAATAAAAATTCAATTTTACCAAGACGTATAAAAGCCGGGATAAATCCTTTAAAAAGTCCACTTGGTCCAACTTTCATTATATCTCTAAAACAATCCATTACAGAATTATATGTTCCTGGTGGTGCATTCATTAATCTAGTTTTCATAACATCTAATGGCATTGTTAATAAAGTAGCTGCAGTGCCTATAACAAAAATGAAAAAATTTCAAATCTATTTTTTTCTAAAAATTAACTAACCAGCAAGAAAACTTGAACTGAAATGAGTAATAATATCATCTTTAAAATAACCACTAGCTAATAGAACTTGTTTAGCTTGTTCATAAAAAGCAATTTGACCAACAGTTACTAATGATCCTCGAATAACAGCCATTGATGCACCTTATATATAAAAATGAATTGCAAAACAAATTTTCTATTAGATATATTTTACCATTAAATAATTTTTTAGGTCCTTCTTCACGACTTATTCGTATAACACCATCAATAGCATGTTTATAATTTCGTCGTTGTTCTTTTGGTAATTTGCCATCATTCTGCATACGAACATTAACAAGATCCGCAGGTGCACCTATAAGATTTTATAGTTAAATTTTTGTTTTTTAAAAAGTCTAAAACAAACCAACAAAAGCACCAACTGCGCCGGAACCAGCAGCAAGTGCAATTTTTTCTATGAAATTTAAATTTGAATCTGTTTTCATTGATTTAATTGCTCCGTAGATAGCAAATCGTGTTGTTGTATATGTTGCTTGACGAAGACATGATGCAGATAGACCATTATAAAGTGCTAAAAATCCATCATCACGTACAATTTTAACAGCCATTGCTACAAACAAATATAACTTATTTGAATAGCATAATAATAAATTTATTTTTTCTTACAAACAAATCCATATTCCGCTCGCTGTTGAGTTTGTAATTGAACTTTTAATGTATCAAGCGGATGTGTACAACATGCTGCAAGCACCCCAGCTAAACCACCAAAATACCAACGTTCATGACGAACAGGTTCTTTTTTAGCTATTGTATTTAAGGGTGTGGCTTCTTTCTTTTCCATTATTAACGAATAAAATAAAATTTTTTATCGGATGTTGAATCCTTTGTATATTCTTTCGCTTATCGATGCCCTCGACATGTTTATTAACATTGATTGTAATGACATCTTAGAAATTAATAATTTCATTGGTAATTTAAATGAACGTATAATAAATTTTTTGACAATCTCTACAAACATAAAATATGACTGTCATAGAAAAAATAAACTATTCAGCTGTTTATTTAAACATCATGATGAGAAATTTTTCATATTACGTCATGAAAGAAGTTTATAATTCAAAATTTTCATTTCTTTTCTTCATGATAAGAAATTCTACATAATTTATATTTTGGGGAAAAAAATGCATGTTGTTGGTGATTCTGCAATATGTCTATTTACATTTTGTTTTACTTCAGATATATTTCTTTTGTCTTCTAATATAAATTTTTAATTTCTAAATGTCAACAACGTCAGCTACTAATAATACATTACCACAATTATCATCGATATCCAATGATGAATCTGCTGATGTATTAGAAAATGGAACGGGACTATCAAATCATTCAAGAACAAGATCAAGAAATGAAAACATAGGAGTAACATGGATAGATTTATTTCTTAAATGTGATCAAAAATTTTCGGGTAGTTTACTTCATATATGTTATCGTATTATTGATGTAATACTTCTTTGTACTGGTCTTTCATCGGGATACGCAACATGTCATATATCAAATAATTTAACTTCAACATCATTATGTTTATTAATATTTTATTTTATTGATTTTTTAATAATAATTACGAATTTATGTCGTTGTACAATGCCAAGTCATCATCAATTAACTGAAGAAGAAAAATCCGAACGATTTCGACGTGTTACAGCTTTACGTGGATTTTTTCTTTTCTTTAAATTAATACCTGCATTTTTTGGAGCAGGTTACGTCTTAACAGTTAAAATGCCATTAGATAATGAATGTCAATTAATGCGTTTTTGTCTTGGTGTTGTTTGTATAAGTACAATATTAGTTATAATTATGCCACCAACAAAACCAGTTATGCCACAACGACGTTCATTCATTATGGAATGTTTTATTCTTTCATTTATTTTAATTGTTAATGGCGCATATTTTTTATCAACAGCATTATCTATGAAAAATGTTCAACAATCATCATGTATATATCAAACGAGAAAAGATTTATATTTAGGTGCACCTTTAAAATCTTATGCATATATTGGTTTATTATTATTTAGTTGTACAACAACAATTCATATAATTAGTATGTTAATAAGTCAAATATGTAATCGTCTAAGAAATGGTCGACGTTTATATACATATTATTATGCTTTACAATATACATTAAATTATTTTGGTGCACTTATGGTTATTTATTATTTATCAGTTGGAGCTTTATTTTTATTACGCCCACGTTCGGGACAACCATGTCGAGAAGATGCACCGGGATTATTTCGAACATTACTAGTATGGGAATGGATACGAGTTTTATCTCCATTAGTAGCAGTGCCACTAGTCTTAATACTTTGTTGTTTGGGAGTGTTCTTTGGATTTATTTTAAGTTATTGTTTACCAGCATCGGTTACTGTTCCACTTCTTGAAGTAATTCGAGTAAGAGAAAAAATTTTTCGTTTTTTTAAATTAATTATATAATTTGTTTAGAACTGGTTATCAGCTGCTCCTGTAAATATTAATAGAGAGCCTCCAGCTACACGAGCAACACTTTCTGCATTACCAGTTGTTCAATTTGGTCAAGAACCTGATCAGTTTAATCAAACTGAATGGTAAATTTCTATAAGATAAAATAATAATAGTTCGATATATTACCGTTTTATTCTAGTGCAATCTGTCGAGCAAATTTCGAAGCTGATGAACCACTAAAAAAACTTGAATGTGCACATTTATTTCATTCAGAATGTGTGGATACTTGGTTATCAGTTACAGGTATATGTCCTATATGTCGTCATCGAATGTCATCAATACATTAATGAAATATTCAATTTAATTTTTCATATGTTACAAACAGACAGTGATTTGGATTTAATTTTTTTCTTCTTCTCTTCGGAATTTAAAACATATACATGATGTATATAAATATCCTTGACTTCAATACTCGTTTTATGCTTTCTTCTATTCTAACAGTTATTGTAAAATCGGTGAGAAGTGTGTTGTTTTTGTAATTATTGTTACTCTGTTTTTATTCCTGATCTCATATATATATATATAAATATGTTTATCACCTTCAATCACATATATTTCCAATTTTTGTAAAAAAAAAAAATTTTGTCACGTTTAGTGGGTTATATAGTATAGGAAATGATTGTTCAACATTGAATATTCAAGATTTATTTGTATTTATTGTCAAAGATGATTTTAACTAAATAAAATTACATTTTTTTCTCGGAAAATGATTATTATTGTAGAAATTAATTATCTATTACAAGGTTCGTTGAAAAATTATACAACATTTGAGTTCCATTTCTATTCTGAGTCTTTCTCTCATAATTATAGTTCTAGTAAATATATATTTTGCCAGTTTTCATAGTTTCAATTCGAACAAGAAACTAATTTCATACGTCACAAAACTTTGACTTTCTTTCTTTCATTCAAATAACAGCAATTATAATCTTAACATATATAATTAATGTCAATAAGATTCTTTACAAAAAAGGTTGTAGATAAAAAAAATGAATATGTTATTTAGCATCTCTCATGGTCTATTAGTATTTAGA